AATTTAAAGAAAATTAATAAATATAAGAAATGAGTCTATATTTCAGACTAATACCAATTCAACAATTAAATCTTATATTAAGAATCGAGAAGAGTATTTTGGTTCGTGATTCATTTTTTTGAAGGTACGCTAGAGGAATTCATTCTCGATCAACATGTGTGCAGTGAATCATGAAACCTAGCTCGCTGCTAAATTATCGATCAAACATTGAGAATGATGGGGGCCCTTCAATCACGGATATTGAGAACTGACTGGTCCAATGAATCCTTTCGTTGTGTGTGGCTTCTCCACTCCTAGTCTTAGCTTAGCGTGATTTCATATTCATTCATCATAATTGTAAGAAATTATTAGTGCTTTTGTCCAAATTTACATTTATAATATACTACCTTCAGTCTCTAATATAAGATTTAGTTCATTAATTTAGAAAGATTAAAAAAACTAGTTAAACTAGTTATTTGTTATAAATAATTGTTGTCTTTTCTAGAATACTTTTACTAATCATGTATATTAGTTAGAATTACTATTTAATGAAACCTTTAATATGTATCACTATTATAAAAACTATATAAGTATGAAAAACAAAATGAATTAAAATCTTATATTTAAAATTAAATTAAAAATTAAATTCTTATAAAAAAAAACAGAGGTAGTATATATGTGCAAGTTGCTGCAAAATTCACGGTGGCATGTTTGGTTTTACATCCTGGAATTAACAACTCACCAGCACACAACTTCATTTTCATCCTTAATTACCTGCCTGCTGCATCTTAGTCTGTCCGCTTCACGTCATTTCAACATGGGCCAACCTTAGTTCATCTCATTACAATATCCCTCACACTCTACCTAATCACAACAATTATTTATTACTGTCCTCCGGTCTTAATTATAAAAGTTATTGACTAATTTGAGGATACTAAGAAAAAAGGTTAACTAGTTATTTGTAATAAATAGATGTTGTTTTTTTAAAAATATCCTTGTTAATTAAATATATTGGTTAGAACTACCATTATTAGAAAGATTAACTTAAAAAAAAAACATAAATATAATAGACAAAATAGATTGGAGTACTATATTTAGGATCAAAATAAAAATCAAATAAGGTTTTATATTAAAACCAGAGAGTATATTTACACAACAACGAGAAAAAAAACCCTGCTTCCTAGTCTCTAGTTGAATCATTCGGTGGTTTTCCTTTAATTCTCATTTTGGGTTTAGATTTTCTGCCTTTTGAGAATAATTTTTAGGGCAAGAAAAAAATGCTTCGTCAAAATCCTCAAGAGAATAATCCTCGATCCGTCACTGTTTTTCCCCCCCCCCCAAAATGGATGAAAATAGTTGTACTAATTGTTTTTTCATAAACTAAGTTACATTTTCTTGTGCTAAAAGTAGACTTTGGAATTATTACTTTATCCTTTTAGGCTATTCTTTTCTCACATCAAGAATTTGAACTCTAGATTCTTCCGCTCCGAAACAACCATTGTCACAATGATGAGAAATGTTTTGTCATCTTACCATTAAAAAGTATACCATTTTTTTAACTAATACAGATTTTTTAATTTATTAAAAATATAAATAAATTTAAAATTCTCACCAGACAGATATTTTTGACTTCTTTTTCTGCTTTTTTTTATTTTGGGGAGTGGATTTGAAAAGTGGTCAGGCAGACAGGCATTGAATTGAATGGTCAATATGATTTGAAAATGATCTGTCACCAATAAAAAACACACCCCGCCCTTACTTGGTACCCCGCCTCCGCCCTCCTTACCTCCCTCGCTCTCTCAACGCAGACCCTCCTTTCTCCATTGTCCCACAACAAAATGAGAGAAATCCTCCATATACAGGGTGGCCAGTGCGGCAACCAGATCGGTGCTAAGTTCTGGGAGGTCATCTGCGACGAGCACGGCATTGACCCCACCGGCAAGTACAACGGTGATTCCGACCTCCAGCTCGAGCGCATCAATGTCTACTACAACGAGGCCAGCGGCGGCAGGTACGTTCCGCGCGCCGTCCTTATGGATCTCGAGCCTGGCACTATGGATTCCGTTAGATCCGGTCCCTTCGGTCAGGTCTTCCGCCCCGATAACTTCGTCTTTGGCCAGTCCGGTGCCGGCAACAACTGGGCCAAGGGCCACTACACCGAGGGAGCCGAGCTCATAGATTCCGTCCTGGATGTTGTGAGGAAGGAGGCCGAGAATTGCGATTGCTTGCAGGGTAATCACCCCGCTTCCGATCTCCTTTCATGTTTTCCTTTCCTGTCCCTTCCGGTTGCCTTTTCTAATCAACCGTTTATTTGTTAGAAGCTGCTTGGTTTGGTTCTTGGTTACGATGTCACTGCCTGATTTGTCGATTTGTATATATTTCACATTCTTTACATTTTCTTTCTATCCTCATTCTGTTCCGAACAAAGGCCTGATAGAGCGCGTGATTTCTTGATACTGGTCTGTATTCCTGATACACCATGCATATCGATTTGTTTCGTGATTCTCATGTTGTACTATTGCTTCCATTATCTCCAAAAATAATTCATGAAAAGGCAACTTATCCGATAATGCTCCTTTTAATGTTGGCTATGCTTGAGTTTTTTGAATTCTGCATACTAATTGTTTGTGCTGCCAGTGTTGCCTCCTGTCATTGTTGATTTTGCTGTTTGGATGCATCACAATTTTCATTTCTGCCAAGAAATTTCACAAATCTAATTTTGTTCAAGGCTTCAAGCTAATCCCGATTAAATCTTATACATGAACAGGATTTCAAGTTTGCCACTCTTTGGGTGGAGGCACTGGCTCTGGAATGGGAACACTTCTCATTTCAAAGATCCGGGAAGAGTATCCAGACCGCATGATGTTGACATTTTCTGTCTTTCCTTCTCCTAAGGTATCTGATACAGTTGTAGAGCCATACAATGCCACACTTTCTGTGCATCAGCTTGTTGAAAATGCTGATGAATGCATGGTCTTGGACAATGAGGCTCTGTATGATATCTGCTTCCGAACTCTGAAGCTTGCTACGCCTACCTGTAAGCACCTCCCTCCCTTCTAGTGGAGTCAACTCGACCTGGTGCAACTTATTATCATTTTTATCATCACTACTGGTGATGCTGTAGTTGTTTGCTTCTGAGTGATTACCAACATTTAACAACAATTGATATAGATAGAGTGGCGGGGTTTACCTTTTCAATATACCATTTAATGATAGACTAAGTAATATCACTATGTTTGTTGGGAGAATTCACGGGTATTTAGGTCACATGTCTCTTTCATGGCTGGTGGTTATGGTTGTTGAGTTTTGTAATCATTTGGTTATTATTTGCTTTAATAGATGAAAGCTCACAATCTTGTTCTTCTTCCTCTTTTGGAATTGCTTTATGACAGTGGTGATCTTAACCACCTAATATCTGCTACCATGAGCGGAGTTACTTGTTGTCTACGCTTCCCCGGACAGCTGAACTCCGATCTTAGAAAGCTTGCTGTCAATCTTATCCCATTCCCGCGTCTCCATTTCTTTATGGTTGGGTTTGCTCCCTTGACATCCCGAGGATCCCAGCAGTATCGTGCCTTGACTGTGCCTGAATTGACCCAGCAGATGTGGGATGCTAAGAACATGATGTGTGCTGCAGATCCACGCCATGGTCGTTATTTGACTGCTTCAGCAATGTTCCGTGGTAAGATGAGCACAAAGGAGGTGGATGAACAGATGATTAACGTACAGAACAAGAATTCTTCATACTTTGTTGAGTGGATTCCCAACAATGTGAAGTCTAGTGTGTGTGATATCCCGCCCAAGGGTCTTAAGATGGCGTCCACTTTCATTGGAAATTCAACTTCAATTCAGGAAATGTTCAGGAGAGTTAGTGAGCAGTTCACAGCAATGTTCAGGCGCAAGGCTTTCTTGCATTGGTACACTGGTGAGGGAATGGACGAAATGGAGTTCACTGAGGCCGAAAGTAATATGAATGATCTGGTGGCTGAGTATCAGCAATATCAGGATGCTACTGCTGATGAGGAAGAGTATGAAGAGGAAGAAGAGGAGATGGATGCTTGAGTGCCCGTTGTCATTTCTCGAAATTCTTGAAATTTTAATATGGTTGGCTTTGAATGTGTGGAGTCCATATTTTCGAGCAGTCATTAGCTTGACTTGTTAATTTGTTTGTTGTATGGATCATGGGCCAAAATGTAAGCCGGGATTTGTTGACAAGGTTTTGAGACAACTATTGGATGGATTCTTCCAGGCAAATTAATCTATATTGACGTTGTCAAGTAATCTGTTTTAGCAATCATCTTTCACCCTCGCTAGTTACTATTGCATTGTCAGCAACAGTCAATGAGTCATTGTTATAAACTAGCAGAATATTATTAAAAAGAATAACATTATTGCCAAAGCACTGTAATGCTTCTCTGCGAACAAGTTATTACCCCAACCAAGGCTACCATCAAATCTAAAGCCATCTTCACAAGTAACTATTGCAATGTCAATAACAATTAGAAAGTCAGTTGCAAACCTGCCAAATAAATTGAGTCAAAATAACACTAGTTGCCAAAGCACTGTACTTTAAAAGGTGGAAATTAGAATGCTCCTAAAAGAAAGTCTTTTTACTTTTATGGTTCTGAATATAATATTTTAATTCATCTTATCTCTTAAATTTATAATTTTTTAATTTTTTTTTATTGATTGCACATATTAAAATATTTACATTAATGTGATAGCTTTTAATACAAATAATTAAAAGGGGTACTTTAAACTTTTTTTCCCTTACAATATTTCTTTAATATTGATAAATTATTTATGTAGTTGTGGTAAGACAATGATATTTTACCATTTTGATCCACCGGAAAATAGTCACAAATACAACAAGATAGAAGCTAAGCTTAAAGCAGCTCCGGACTTTGAAGTGCATAAAAATCTATGATTCTTACATGTCTAGCATTTTAACTCATGCCAATGTGCACCCAATATGAACAGCACGTAATATCTAATGGCGTCATTGCAGTGCCGCATAGATAAAATAGCATGCCGGCTATACTCCCCTCACAAGGTAGTTTACTGTACTCATCCTCTGGCTAAAATAGATAGTCAGTCCTGAGTGCTGTCTTTAATCCATTCCAGGTATTTGAGATTGCCCCCAGCGATGGTAAGGATATCACCTCAGGCGTCCTGATGAAATCACACAAGGAAAGGGTGAGGAGACGAGTATTAGAATGCATCATTATTTTAAGTTCTCCTCAACAGTCAAAGTTCTCCAGTCTTGGCAAATTCAAAACCGATATGACGATATGGTTCAACTCGAACTTATTTGCAGTTTTCTTCTCTTTAGTTTTAAGAATGTCAAATGTTGGTGCCCAATTTTTAATTTGAATATTTCCCTCCTAGTTTTCAACTTGTTGCAAGACCACTACAAACATGCTACTGATATGATGTGTGTGTGTGTGTGCATTTCTGATGTTAGCAAGGGGTCAATTCTTCCCCACAATAATCCAAATGACCCAGTAGGCATTAGCCCCCTTAGTAAATATAGAAGAACCAAGGAAATTACTAACCTATGGAAACATTTCCACCTGAATCCTTAAGTTTACTTAATTTACAAATAGGTAGATGGCGACTCCCTATTGGGCCATGTGGAGGCGCATGGGTAGACCGCTACCTACTTTTATGGAAGAATTTAGTGCCATGACAGCGAAGAGAGCAACACCATTTAGTTGAAACAAGGAAGACCAGATAATGTTTTAAAACTAGGAAGAGCAAGAGCAGTTTGAGCCTTCTAGTTATTACATTCAGTTGCGCGAACTACCACTCAAGTCCTTTCATCTTAAAATTTTTTAGTATCTCGTAATAATTTACATTTATCATAACACTATCCACCAGAAGCATAAGCCTTACTCATATTCATGATTTGCTTTGACATGCTCGGTCAGTGCTTCCAAAAGGGACTGCCTAGTCTTGATTATAAGAAGCTCTTCCGAGTCAGTTTGGATCTGTCATTTTTCAATACATAGGTGACAAAGTCAGGCTACAGAACATTTTCAATTCAATTCTGTAAGCTATTCAGACTACTTGTCCACAAGAACATAAACGCATAAAAGAAAGTAAGAGCTTGTAATGTTAGGATGATAAAGCTCTAGAAGTATTTCTACCAATATTAGCATTTTTGGTCGGTATTGGAAATGTAGTTCATACCTCTCCCTTCCACTGATATACAGATTCAATACCTGCATAAGAAGATACACATGGTTTATAAAAGCCAAATAAGTGGAATGTATACTCGCAGCTACTGCCTACTGGCCATGACATATGACACTTTTAACCCCATTAAGTCGCAGCCCTACCAGTACAAAAGCAGGGATTCTTGACATCTTAACTATGGAAACACTAGACATGAAATAAATAACCAAAAAGCCCAGAATGGAAAATGATAACAATGCATATCAACTCACTCAAGTCAGAATTACAGAAATGGCTATATCATTAAACATGCATACAGGTAGTTCTCAAAATGCATCATCTATAGACTTTAAGTACTAAATCAGCAACTACTCCAAAAGGAAGTAGCCAAGCAATGCTTTTAAAACTGAATCACTCGTTGAATCAGTCAAAGTATTAGCTTAAGGCTCACTCATTTAACTATAGACAAATCATGGTTGAATTGATAGTAATTAAATTAATATATTTTCAATTTTATATATTAAAATATTATATAGAAAATAAAAACCCATCACTAAGAAATTTCTTAATATTCAAACCTAGATAAATTAATATCCATCAATAGTCACACATTGAACTCAAAATAGGAAGCTAATGATCCATCACTGTGGTATTTATTATGTAAATTCATAGCAATTATTAATGGTTATGCACAAGAGTAATACTTCTGTAGTATCAGAATATAGGAAGAAAAAATTTACCCCAAAAGCACGCCCTTTTGCACCAACAACGAAAAAAAGTTCAAACAAAAAGGTTGAAACAATAACCTTGCTGGTTCTATAGAGTTTTGGAATGTTTTTGTCCCCGGTTCACTGGTTTCCAGGTTGAACTGGGTGGTTTGGTCCAATCATGATAAACACGAAACAAACATGTATTTTGAACAAGTTTCTTTGCTTTGAGAAAACTATTTTCAAAGGATAAAACAAGCTTCATTTTTTATGATTCAAGTGAATATGTTCAGGACATTCAAGCAAGCCCATCTAAAGAAAAATTAACAATGCTAAAACCTCGGTTAAACCCCGGCAATAATAAAGTTTATACCTGGAACCCTATTTACGCAAGCTGCAAGTTTTTCTTTGACGATGCTTTCAGCCAACTTTTTGCCTGAAGAATCAAATATTAAGTACATAAATAAAAACTTGTTAAAAAGCCGACCCCCGCCCAATTACTCCCCGGCTCCATCGTACTTGTAAACGCAAGTGGGATCCATGATATTAGAACAGAGCCCACGTAAATCTTAAGCCACAACCCCAAGCTCTGAACTAAGCATCAGAGATTTGAGACAAGAGGATGATAAACGGAATCAAAGTATACAGCTTGATCCCGGCGATACTCATTCATAATCCGATTCCGCAGCACCCCACTAAGAAAACGAGGGAAAAGAAAAATAAAAGACTCGAACCTGCTTCTTTGCTAGGAACAGTGACATACACAACGATGCTTGGAACGGTGGAGGTACTGCCTTCCATTCCGGTCGCAGGAGATTGGCCACCAAATTTGGATCTGGAGCGGTGAGAAACAACAGTGAGAAATCAGAGGACAGATGATAGATACAACGGAAAGGTAGAAGAGGAAGAAGAAACCGTGAGTTGGTGAGAGAGGAGTAGAAGGCAGAGGAGGTGAAGGCGAAGATGCAGACGGCCCCAATGAGCGGCAAACGACGTCGCAGCGTGGAGGGAGAAAGGAAAGATGGCTGAGAGCGCACTGGGGAAGGCATTGGCGTCAAGCTTTACTTGAGTCAAGTCGCGCCGCCCTTTTTCACTTCTTTATTGTGTGCTAATTAAAAAAAAATTCTTCATTAACATATTTTATGACTTTATTATTATTATTGTTCAAAAATAATTTTTTTAATATAATACATCAACCTTAATAACAACGTAAAACACCGATTTCAACAATCATTTGAATAATCTGCAGAAAACTTTGTCGGAAAAGAATTCATTATGATGATTATTTCTTATTGGTGATATGACTAGTATCGCAACTATATATATCTTCAAAAGAAAAGGAAAAAAGAAAGAAAGAAACATTGAATTGAAACCGATTAATGTGGATAAAAAAATCATGATCCGCTAATTCACAATAGAGATTACAGTAAGATGCTTCAAATTTTCATCCACATTCTCTACATGAATTTCAAATTTTTAAGTGCTCATTCTTCAATAATATTAATTCTAAACCTCTCAGGATGAATGTGTGTGTGTGTGTGTATATGGATCAGCAAATGTAGAGATTAATCTCTACATATATGCATGAATCCCCATCACAACGTATTTGTCTCAATCTTGTTCACTTTGTTTCTTCCTTTATATATGTGTGTGTATGTATGCATATTTCCTGAACAAATAAATAGACCAGTTGAAGGCTTGAACTTAATCAATCATCATAACTAGTGATTAGCCGGAGAAGCCAAGTCCAGCAATATATAATCCCAGCTGGTGTGTGGCGTAGTTGCCTGATGTTGAAACCAAATTAATTGAGATGACCATTCCTTCTCTCGTTTTATTTTTAATTTTCTTTGGCCATTAAATAAGATGACCATTTGAGTTCCTTAATTGGGCGGCAAAGATGTCTTGCATATAGCTTGCTAGGCTCATCCTCATCGGCGCCGATATAAAGAGGCTACATTGCCACCAAGCACTTTCATCGCGCCACATACATCTCGTTAACATCTAATTACAATTCATATTATATATATTACGCACTGCCAAATCTTCTGAATCAAATGGCTAATCAAATGGCTAGTCCACCTTCATTCATATTGTTGGGGCTCTTGGCGCTCTCATTCTCGCTGTCTTAGCAGTAGTACTCTTCAAGATTTCTGAATCAAACGGCCAAGGCAAGGCATATATGTGTATGCGCGCGCGCGCGCACACACACATATATGCCAAAGTAGATGCATTTAATTATGAAGAAAGATATATATATATATATATATATGTATGTATATACTGTACTATATCGTTGGTCAATATTCTAACCAGACACTTGCATTGTTTGTCAATTATTTGTGACAGTGCTGGTGAATGTGATCTGGCGTGCGAGGTCCCAAAACTAGTTGTAGCAGAAGATTTCTTCTTTAGTGGCCTTCACACAGCGGGCAACAAATCAAGCCAAGTAGGGTCCAAGGTGACTCCTGTGTTGGCTGCTCAGGTTCCAGGATTGAACACTCTAGGCATCTCCCTGGCTCGCATTGATTTCGCCCATGGGGTATCAACCCTCCTCACTCTCACCCTCGAGCCACAGAGATCATCGTTGTTCTTGAAGGACACATACAAGTTGGATTTGTGACATCAAACCCAGAAAACCGATTCATCAGAAAAGTGTTGCAGAAGGAAGACGTGTTTGTGTTTCCCATAGGGCTCATCCATTACCAGAAAAATGTTGGCCACTGCAGCTCTTAGCAGCCATAACCCATTGCTATGCTGCTGTGTTTGGCTCTAAAACCCAACATACCAGTGATGCTCTCGCCAAGGCTTTCCAATTGGATAATAATGTTGTCAATCATCTGCAGTCCAAGTTCTAGAACAAGTGATTTTTGCATCTGTTCCAGTATTGGTTTGTTCTGATTATGTTTAGTGCGTCTGTGAGAGGTCTTAGTTGAGGTATATATGTTTTGTTACGTTTGTTCCGTTGTATTGTCATGGTCCAGTGATCAAATGCTTTTGCTGTGTTGTTGATGATTCAATTTACTTCAAATTCATCTTGTAGGTACGTTTATGTACCTAATACTAAAATACTGTGTTAGTGAAGATTGTGTATGGAAAAATTGTTGTTAATGTGATCATTTTTATTTCTATTGTTGTCTTTTTTATTTTCGTATTTTTCCAATTAATTGATCATCATTTTTTTCTGAAACCAAATTAACAAAATAAACTGCTGAACTAATTCATGACAAAAATTTAAAAACAAAACTAAAACTAAAATAAAATATATGGCATGGCGCAACGCTCTACCTTTTCTCATGAGTTATGACTACGTTATGATTAAAAAAACATTGAATTATTTTTTCTTTATTCAATAAGAAACAAAATAAAATACACACTCATAATAATAAGTGAGTGGGGTTATTTAAAATGCCCCATCACATGCACTATTCGTAACACAAATTTTCCACCTCACAATTCTTTCATCTATATTCATTTTTTTGTAATTAATAACAAACATATTGACAAATGTTCATGTTTTTCTTCCTCTCAAAGGTTTTAACTTTTAAATAATAGAGAGACCGAAGTTCAGTAAAGCATAAGTAAATTTATTTCTTTCATGTTCAATGAATATAAATAATATAATTGTTTTGAAAGAGACCTGCCTCGAATAGAAAATACAAGGGAAAAACAATACTTCTCACTTATCAATTTATTTGGTTGGAATTAATTTATTTAATTGAAATAAGGATATTGCTTAAATTAAATTAACTTGTCACGTCTGTGCGCCTGCTGGCTGAAGATCGAATTGAAGACATAGCCTATCTCTTGCAAACAACTCCTTGGCCGTCGATCCCACTTGCACAGCTTAAGCCGGGTAGCTCCGAGCCCTCCATGTTAGCCTCACTTCTGATGAATAATCCATCATCGGTACCGGCAAAGCGAGAAACAGAACAATCTGGGACAAACAGGCTTGTCGTTTTAAACTCCTTGTCTCCTCCCATTATCGGCATTTTCGCCTCTATGTTCACTCTGCTCACATAGTCTGGTCTGTAAGTTTGGCCCAACACGCCGCTCACTTGGTCGCTTAAAGACATGAATTTGAACCCCAGATCCAGGTGAGCGAAACAATCCTCCTTCGTTATCCCATAGTTGTGGATTCTTGAATCTTCCTCAGTTATAGGGACAACTTGGCCGTTATTCTGGCTCTCCCTTCGATTTCCACTGTAACATAGTTTGTTTCGGCGGCCCTTGTGATGACCACACGTGGGGAAGTGTTGGATTTCCAGATGGCGCCTTCTGATTGTTGGAGGGCGAGGGGTTCGCCGTCGAAGTTGAGGGCCAGGCGGTCTATGTAGTCATTCCACGTTGCTGTTTTTTGAGCACCGATGAAGATTTGGTGGTTGTTGAAAAGAATGGCGATGGATTGGACCCAAGTGAAGTCTCTGTTCATATTAGGGTTTCTTCTGCCAATGAAATGGGCATTTATGTGAATGTTAGGATCTGACACGAGACAGAAGTTACCGTCCTTCTTGCCATGAAAGTAAAATGTTATCCCATCGCCTCCCACGAAACGAGGGTCTTGGCAAACTGCTCCGGGTTTGTCGCATTCTGCATGCCCAATTGCCAATGAATATATTATAAGAGATTAATCTAAGATAAACTTTAGAAACTGTGTGATACTAAATGTTCTAGGTTGTACTCGGGTTATTTTCCAACAGCGTAAAACAGTGAAGGCTATATATGAACCAAATATCATATATTTGATAAGAGATCTCTGATCGGTCAATGCATGAACTCTGATTAGAAGCCATATATATGTTCAAGGTTATGAAAAAATAACCCCGCTCGAGTTGCAACTTCATATGGAATTAAGGTTGTAATTTGTAGTTATGTATCACCAACAAAAGAGAGGTTTTTCTACTTAAAGCACTCAATGCTAATTTCCAACAAAGCTTGTCTAAAAACCTTAGGTGATGCGATCACACGCGCGCACACACACACAAATGATTTTCAGTCAAATCATAAACAATATTTTTTTTCTTCATATACCTCACCATGACATTATTGTATCGTTTTGAAAATTTCCTTCATCTTGTATTTATGTACTAGATAACTAATAACACATGTGACAACGAAATTTACCCTAAATCTTGAGCTCTCCATATATATATAAACACATGGATAAGAGAGAAACAAGTGTTAGTATATACTACTTCTGGTCATTGATATAAGAATTAGTTGATTAATTTAAGTAGATTAAAAATTAATTAAGTTAGTTTATTTGTAATAAATATGTATTGTCTTTCCTAAAGTATTTTTACCAATCAAGTATATTGGTTAGAACTACTATTATTATAAAAACTATCTTAAAAAAAAAGAATAAATATAAGAGACAAAGTGGATTGTGGTTTTATATTTAGGATCAAAATAAAAATCAAATGAGTTCTTATATTAATGGAGGTAGTATAAGAGACTTACTGCAAATAGGTTTGCAAGTGATGCAGTCAACGTCACATCTAGTTGGGCAGGCAGCGGGACAAACGTGTTCCATGTTATAACATTTTGGATAGTACTTATTCTTGCACCTGGCTGTGTTTGAAGATGGTGTAGAAGGGGCAGGAGATGATGGAGGTGGTAGGCTATGATCAGGTGTGGAAGGAGTGCTAGGATTTGATGGTGGTGGTGGGCTGTGGTCAGGTGTAGATGGAGTGCTAGGATTTGATGGTGGTGGTGGGCTGTGGTCAGGTGTAGATGGAGTGCTAGGATTTGATGGTGGTGGTGGGCTATGATCAGGTGTGGAAGGAGTACTGGGATTTGATGGTGGTGGGCTATGATCGGGTACAGATGGAGGAGTACTATGATAAGGTGTGGAAGGAGTAGTGGGTGGTGATGGCGATGGAGTGGATGGAGGAGTGCTATGATCAGGTGTGGGAGGAGTAGAGGGTGTTGATGGTGATGGAGGGTTTTGTGGTGTAGGAGTTGGAGATGGTGGGTTATGATCAGGTGCGGAAGGAGTGCTAGGATTTGAGGGTGGTGGTGGGCTGTGATCAGGTGTAGACGGAGTGTTAGGATTTGATGGTGGTGGTGGGCTGTGATCAGGTGTAGACGGAGTGCTAGGATTTGATGGTGGTGGTAGGCTATGATCAGGTGTAGATGGAGGAGTGCTATGATGAGGTGTGGAAGGAGTAGTGGGTGGTGATGATGATGGAGTGGATGGAGGAGTGCTATGATCAGGTGTGGGAGGAGTAGCGGGTGTTGATGGCGATGGAGGGTTTTGCGGTGTAGAAGGAGTTGGAGATGGTAGGTTATGATCAGGTGTGGAAGGAGTGCTAGGATTTGATGGTGGTGGTGGGCTGTGATCGGGTGCAGATGTACAGATAGGTTTACAAGAGGCGCACTCAACAGTGCAACCATTGGGACAGAACTTAGGGCAAACATGCACCAAATTGTAGCAGTGCTTGTACTTCTTTATCTTGCATGTTGCATGGCTTGGGTTTTTGGCTATTCCTGGCGGGGTTTTTGCTTCTGCCACAACTAAAACCATAATTATTCCCAGCAATAACACACAAGATGAAGCCATCTCTTGAGATCACTATGCGCAGTTCTCAAATATGGCCTCTAATTCCTAGTTTGTGTTGTCACCTTCATATAAACCTGTCCCTTTTATAGATATGCGAGGAAGAGCAGTCCTGAGAGAGGCACATGCCAACAATTCGGTATTATGGCTTTTGGCTCGAGTCTTCACGTGGTTGCTTCATAAAACAAAACTATTGAACCCGCTTTTGGTTTTTGTATATTATTGCATGGCTTAATTGGCCTTATATATACTTGAATGCTAAGTAAAGGCTTCGCCAAAAATAAAAATGGCATGCCCATGTTCTGAGTATTTATAAATTCCAAAGAGGGCAGTCAAAGGCTTTCCATCCGGAAGGATAAGCTATGCGAGACATACAATAAAGACGCAACAGTTCGTTGTCATTCATTATATATATGTTGTCGGTTTATGCGACTCCTTCCTGCAATAATGGGACTTGCATCATATTGTTGTTTAATAAATTAAATAATATTTGACTTGCCATACACATTTCCTTTTTCCATCTTTACAGTCGTCATCATATAAGTTATTGAGTTATATGCTATTCGTTTAATACTACTTTCGGTTCTTAATATAAGACCTCGTTTAACTTTTAGTTTGGTCTTAATTATAAGACCTCAATCTACTTTGTCTCTCATATTTATACATTTTTTTCCAAGCTAGTCTTTCTAATAATAGTAATTCTAGCCAATACACATGATTAACAAGGATATTTTAGGAAAGGCAACATCTATTTATTATAAATAACTAACTTAACTTATTTTCTTAATCTCTTCAAATTAGTCAACTCGCTCTTATAATTAGAACCGGAGGTAGTAATATCTTATCCCTTCATTTCTGGAGTTATCAATCAAACTCCATGCTCATGATATTGTTTTGATGTTAACCAATAAATCATACATATATACATACATGACCGGGTTCCGTTTCCCCTTCATTATCAAGTGATTCCCTGTTAATGTTCCCTTTCTGCCTACAATTTATCATAATATATAAGCACATGACACATTTAGCTTTGCGTATTCCGTCAGCACATTAAACGTTAGGGTTGTGTTTTACACACGTATATAAGTAGAGGTATAAAAATAAATAAAGTCATTACTGTAAGTGTTCATTGATATTAATTGTGATCAGGGACACATCACCAGGGGAATAATCCAAACATAAATTTGAATACGGATTTTTACGGAGCAAGCCGTTAAACAAAAAAAAAAAAAAGAGGAAGCGAGAAAACCTTGGCTGGGACGAAGTTCAAACTTTGAAGTTGATTTGATTGTAGTACCCACACATTAGAGAGAGAGAGAGAGTCTCACTGTAATCATGAGGCCACTGGATGAAGGATCATTGTGGAATTTTAGTATTTAACAAACTGAACAATAGTGAACAAAAATCGGAAAACATGGAATACACATTATTGCAAGGGATAGGAAAAAAGATAATGAAATACTCTCAAATCAAGATGGATGAATTTTAAAATCTCAAATCATCAGCAATTTTTAGGGTATTTTATTGTTTTTTTTTGCCCCTTATGGCAATGTATTGGAATGACCACGACACTACGAACCCATCACATGGTTCAACGGTCACCCAGTCGTCCACTCTTTTTGGGTGAATGAATTTGTCGTGAGGCTTCCTTGACATTAGAATTGAAGAGGGTGTCCCTTGTGAATCTCCAAACATTATGAGAGTAACATCAGAGACGAAATATTATTCTAAAGCGGATCACTGTCAATGAACTTGTGAAGCTCTTGTTTTAGGTCATCCAGTAAGTACTTAAGACAACAATATGATATATTAGCTCTGTTCCTTAATATAAAAATTAGTTTGACTTTTAATTTGATTTTAAATATAAAAACCCAATCTATTTTGTGTTTTATATTTATCATTTTGTTTAAGATAATTCTTGTAGTAGTTGCCTATGTGAAATTTGAATGTTTGTTCTTTTTGTTTTTTTGGTGTAACTATATGGTGACTCTTATTTGTTTTTTTTCAGAGATACTTCCCACCGTCTCCATCTTGCTCAATTCCATATCTGATAGACTTATTTTGAAATTTTCTTACTATGTACAATCATTTTCGAACTCATTCCCTCTCTCCTTTCTAGAGATTATTCCTTTTTTTCCCAACACCCTAGTTTGACTCGTCTTGCTCAACTCAATTCAGATTCTTCTTCCTTCCTTGTAGTGGGTTCACAGCGTGTTTTCTTTTTATTTTCCCCTCTTCACCGACTTCTCCAGTCCTCCCTCTTGGTTGCTTATGTGGTGCTGAGTTGGAAGTGATTTTCTTACCCATGCTTGCCATGTAGGATGACTCATGATTAGTTGGAGATGACAAGCATCATAACATAAAGAGGCAAAGATAAAGAAATGAATCATAAAAGAGTTAAAAGTTTAAGAACTGACTCGTATTGAGTCATAATTAAAGAATTGAGTTATAAGTAAGTCAATAGTTAAAGGATTAAGATTAATTTTCCCTTCAAATTACTTTCCCAGAACTAAAGAAATTTTGGCACAATTTGCTTAAAAAAATCCCGTATCATTAAAAAAAAAAAAAACTGATGAAGATTGATTTAGCGGAAGTTCCACTTAAAAATTAAACCGGAAATACGGCAAATTGTACGCGTCATAGACGAAAACATTGTGAGAAGGGGGGCAAAAGGGCTATTACTTATTTATCAAGTAAACACTAAGAAATTTGCCAAACTGCGACCATTTTTTCAATTAAAGCTAAAAAGAACTCCAGATTCACAACGTTTTTATATTTTGAGGATCAAATTCATAACTGTTGGAGTGTTCGTTGATATTATGATCAGAGGCATATCATAATGCAAATAACCTCAGCATAGTTTAAAAGACAGTTTTACAGAGTTCGCGGCCCCTAAAATAGAAAACAAAAAAAGCCGAGGAAACTTCAGAGAAGAATGTAACACCCGTATATGTGAGAGAGAGCGAGGGCGAGGAAGGGCCCACTGTAATCATGAAGCCAATGGATCCAAGGATCCATGGAATTTTATTATTTAACAACTGAATGGTAATCAGCAAAAATTGTAAAACATAGGATACACATTATTGCAATGCAAGGAATGACCACAAAACCATCAAAGCCCAATAACCAAGCTTTACAATGCAACATCGTTCGATTTAATAAATAACTTCTCGATAAATCCAAATTCTGATTCAACTAGTTACCGATACCTCAATACAACATGCTATTGCTCTAAAGACAATAATGTAATCATGGACGCAGATAGCTAGGAGGCATCTAGAAAAAGCCCCCACTACAATGTTCAATGGGCACCTGGTTCTCCACTCGATCTTTTTGGGTGAACAGATTTGTCATGAGGCTTCCTTGCTTAGTCGAGCTTGACATTAGAATAGAGGAGGGTATCCCTTGTGAGTGGCATATTCAAAAGATAGCATATCTGTTTGCGAAAAGAGAAATGGTCAATATTTACCCTTCAACTCTCAGTACCAGCTTCGGCTGGTATTGTCGAGATGAAAGCAAGCAAGATCTTCAAATAAATGCTTGTTTGTTGATTCTACCATCAGAAATATACCATGTGGGTATCATCTAACCATAATTTTGAGCAATACCTCCGGTTTTGCACTACCCATCCTCGATAAAAGGTAGCACTAAAGTAAGGAAACAACCCAACGAAAAATACTGCCCAAAAAGTCCTCTGACCTGTGGCAAGATCTCATTGGGAAATATTTGCAACCCGTAGATAAAAAAAAGTTACTTTCATTTGTCTTTGTTTCACAAGAATGTCTCTCGCTTTAGTTAAGGTCTTCAATTTTCAAATACTACTATCATCGTTCACAGAGGACTTACCCCTATCAGAGTTGAGATGAGCAAAATCAATCCTGTTACCCATGCAAGGGTTCGCCTAACCAACACCACTTCCGCAAGTGATACATTCAATGCTTTATCTTCCGCCAACAATCGAGCAGCATTGTGAGAAGAAAACACAACATCAAGCGTCTTACCCAACTCCTGAGTAGTCCTCGAATGAGAGTATATAACTCCAACAATTTGACCTGCTCAATCACCAATCATTAGCTGTTATGTAATTGAATTCTTTGGAGCAATCAACTTCAATGGAGACATCTAAAGAACCCATCCGAGAATATTCAAACTTATGAGAGTAATATCACTGAGGAAATATCATTCTAAAGCAAATCACCATCAATGTAGTTGTAAAGCTCTTGTTTTAGATGATGCAGTAAGTACTTTGATAAACAATATTTGACCTTTGTAAGCTTCCTGCAGTGAACCAAGTATCTTGGTTAAAGTTACGAGTAGCAGCTCAACGCCATCTTGAACAATACTTTCAGCTCCATCTTGCTCTTGCAAAGCCTGCGCCATATTTGTCAACCAGACAACTATAATCCGTGTTTATAACAAACATTTATGGTCATGATGAACATAAACATCGAAAAACCAAGAAAAAACCTAAGCACTTGGGAAGCTAAATAACAGCTGACAGCTCCATTAACTAGGCCAAGAAATTGACATGGATTCTCTGTGTTGGTAAATTATGTTGAGAAATCAATGTGCCTTTTCTCAGGTCATACAAGCACCATATAGTAAGTTAGCCAGCATTGGCCAAAGGGATTCAACAAAACCTTCGTAAGCAAACAAATTCTCACTAAACTAAAGACATACATTACTTGTTCCCTTCAGTAAAAAATATGACATGGAAGTCAGTTACTGCCGTGTTCAAGGAAGCAATCAGCTTTGTAAAACCCCTAAGTTAAATTATTATAGTATTGCGTCAAATACAACCATGAAATTATAAGAGGCTTAAATTGGTCATTTTCACAAATTGGAATATTCATGTCATCTTTTTGCTTCCTTTATGCCCCATCTGGAGTTAATTTAATTGAATTTTCAGAAATAACTGGGGTTGGTAAATTGACAACATTTTTCACTTCAAAATTTTCATATCAATTATGTAGCTTTTTATCAACCGAACAAAAGGCAAT